GTGTCTGTTCATAAAGATGCATGATAAGAGTGTTTATACCATCTGCACTGTGATTGGCTAGATTAGTTCCACCTTGTCATTGTGTCGCTCAGATTACGAGATCACGTGGCGATAATATCAAACAGGTTTGAAAATATCGTAGCGTCTGTGATAGCTCGAGACAGGTTCGGATCATGTTGCTGACCTGCTCATACTTAACGAGCACCAATTTGGTCATTATCCGGGGGTTTTGTCGCAGACTGTGGAAATCTGTCTGCGACAGCAAAATCCAGCCAAAAATCTTAAATAAAAAAAAAAATTTAAAAATTATTTTTACAATTTTTTAATTTTAGGCTCTTTAAATTTTCGCTCTGTAGTGACAACGTATGTCACGTGACAATGTCAACATGGCGGATGCAGTACGTCTGAATTTCATTCTACCCACATTTATACTATATAGAACGTACTTTTTTAATGGTCGAGTAGTACGTTCAAATTCAAGTGTAGTACCTACTAAACAGTATGCGATTTCGGACGCACCCATGGCCCCCTCTGCCTTCCACAATGCTTGTCCGTGATCAGTTCTCTTTCGCGGTTTATTGGCTATAATCCAATAGGAATGTTTTTTTTTTTATCAAGCACATCCCGCTCTTTACTTTCTCATTCATCCATGTTTCTTTATTAATAATTTCAAACTGTCCGGCCCACTGAAAGCTGAGGGGGTTATCATACATAAATACACATTTATAGGACATAAAAGGTCTGTGCAGCAAAAGCGAAAGTATGTGGTGAAATGTTTCGAAATGTCTTTTGGCACAACAGAGCACCAGTTTCAATTAAAGGATATAGGCTATTTCACACATACGTATATATATATATATATATATATATATATATAAACAGTAATTGCGAAGATATAAACTCAGAACTGTGAGATAAAAGTCTGAATTGTTTGAGAAAAACTTGCAATTCTGAGGAAAGTCTGAATTGTGATAATCTCGCAATTGTGAGAAAAGTCATAATTTAAAAGTAGCTAATAGTGACTTTTCACCTCACTATTCTGAATATTTCTAACAATTGCAAGTTTTGTTTTCTTCTCAGAAATGAGAGTTTATATCATGCAATTCTGAAAAAAGAAAGAAGTTCATGCTATTTGTATTTTTATTCTGTGACAGAAATAAGCTTCCATTAAAAAAGAAATCCAATAGGAATGATGTACATTTACATTTCATGCATTTCGACACATTTGAAGTGCAATGTAATTCTAGTCCTGAAGCTGTGCACCGTCGCCATTGGATCTCAACTCAGAAAAAAAAAATAATAAAAATAATCAACTGCAAATTCAATGCAAAATAAACACCAGAGTCCATTATTTTTTCCCAGTTTACATGGTCAATATCACCATTGTACAAATCAAAAGTCTACATCCCAGCCAGAATCATCCAGTGGTGCTGCTTCAGTGTGGGTTTCTGGCAGGAGTGCTGATCCTCCATGATCAGAGACACAGGGAACCTGTAGAAAGGCTACATTTATTTGAACTGGACAGATGCATCGTTGGAAAGGTGTGTTTGTTATATAAGTATATAATATAAGCTGAATAGAGTGTTCTAAACTCTACAGTGTTCTGTTATGCTGCTCACGTTTGTTATTACTGGTGGAGTCAATGTGCCCTTCAGAAGTCCTTCCCAGTCGAAGCCTTCAAACCACCTGAGAAACACAACACAAGTTAATCAGTCTAGAAAATAAGCCAGCACTTAAAAACAGAGCCGCATCCTCTCCTCTCCTTTGCTCTTTTCTTTTCC